ATGGCCCTGGAAGCAAGTTCAGTTGTCTTTTTTTTTTTTTTTTTTTTTTTTTTTTTTTGGAAGAATGCCACAGAACATTGAAGTTGCTGGTGGCAGGAAAACTCTGAGAATTACAAATTCAGCAGAAAATAGTGTGTTGATTTGAAAGTCCTACATTTGTAAGTGGAATTTATTTTTTGAGAATCACTAAGGTTATTTTTTAGACCTTTGCCACTCAAAGTGTGGTTATGGAGCAGTGCTTTTCAAACTCTGAAAATCTTGTTAAAATGTGGATTTATAGGTGTGGGGGGTGGGACCTGAGATTCTGCATTTTAACAAACTTCCAGTGTAGATGAGGCTGTTTGGTATGTACTTTGAGTAGCAAGGTTCTAGAGTTCCCAGTGCCCCAATCACCTATCTTGATACATTTATTAAAGTTTTGAAGAAGCATTCTACTTTATTCTGATACTTGATACTTAAACTAAATTCTATTTAGAACAAAGCAGTTGAGGTCTTTCAGCTTCAGTTTTATTATGTATATTTATACTTACTGCTTACATGTGACAAGTTTAAGCAGTTCCCTTCATATTGGTCTTATCTTGCACCAATAAGCATGAGATTGTGGAATCTACTAGAGAGGAGTCTATGTAGTATGCTGGTTAACAGAATAGAGCCTCTAGTTGTCTGATCAGACCCCATCACTGACTAGGCTTGTGACCTGGAACAGGTCACTTAGCCCTCAGGTTGCTGTGAGGATGAAAAAAGATAATCTGTTTTGTACAGTGTTTGGTGCTTAGTTAGCTGTTACCAAGAGAAAGGTAATCAGGCTTTGTGAGAATACTACCTTGCGCAGATCATTAGGATTCTGGATAGAGAGTGAAGTGATCAGAAGGTAAGGAGTACTGCCTTGAAGAACACTGGCAATAGAGCTAACACACACCTGTTTAGGGACACTTACTTACCCTGCCCTTCTTTTGTGCATCTTTGTCTTGCTGTTCCCTCTTACTTTGTGGAACTGCAAACAGTCTCAGAGTTTTCTTCTCTACTGTCCCTAAAGCTAGCTAGCACACAGCTTTTTTTTCTTAAGGGTTTTGTTGCTAGTCACAAGGGAGGAAACGTAAAACAGAAAAGTAACTTACTTCCTTTTCATTGTACCCATCTCCCCAGTTAGATGTATCTGGAAAAGAGAAAGGCACATGTATATAAAAACTCATGTACAAACCTAAGGCTTGTATTTATTCTAGTCATTTCATCTGGGCTGCCAGGTTTGACTCTAAGCAGGATTGCTTGTATTTATTTAAATTCTAATACAATGTTGTAAGAATTCTTTTATTTAGGATTTTTTAAGGAGATGTAAGCAAAAGCAACAAAGTTTGTTTCTGCAGTAGGGCTTTTTTAAATGATGAAAAGATGTCTGTATATACTGTACAATTTCAGTGAAGGTTGAAATCCATAATTTCTCAGTTTGCTGATGATTTTGAGGTGGGGCACTAGTTAAATGTTTAGTAATAGTAAGTCATTTGATTTACTATGAAATAATAGTTGAGGACAAAAAATTGGCTTGAGTAGTTCACTACTATGTAGGATATTTTTCTGAGTGAAAAACTTAATTGCCACTTCTGCATTCTCTTACGGATTTTCAAAGTAAAGTTATTTTAATTACTCATTTCATTAATTATACCACAACATGTATAAGAGAATAAAGACATTTTTGACTTGCAACTTTGCGTACTTATTTTGATATCTTTTTTTACTTATATTTTCTTTTCATTGTGAGTGTGTGTGTGTGAGTGAGTGAACATAGCTGTAGGTAAAGCTAACAGGAGCTAAAGATAATTTAAATTTATGCCAGTAGGGTTTAACATTAATTTTAGCATAAAAGGGAGTAAATGGAAGATTGCAGATAGCTTTCTGTGTAATTTACATTCATATGCATCTGTTTAGTTACCTGAGATAAAAATGAAATGTTTAAAATTAGGGTCCTGAATGTGTTGCTTATATTCAGTTTTAATAAATGAATGAATTTGGCCTTTATCAGAAATCATAATGATGTACCTATTTATCTCTAAATTTTAACTTCAGTATCATGTAGTATATTGAATTATTCAGCAATAGCAGTCAGATTATTTGGTTTCAAGTTTTTGTGGTCTGTAGTTTCATGAAAAATAGTTGCATTGTATCTCATGGTATAATTATTCCTTTTAATATTACACATTTATTAAATACTTACATCAATAGATATATCAATTTGCTTAAATACGGGTTGCTAGTAGCTTTGTTTTTGTCATTACAGTTCCTTGGAGTGTAGTACAAGTAAAAGCATGTTTATTTCTTTAAATGTATGTCAAAAACTCAATAGGACTCAAAATAATTTATATAAAATTTTGAATCTGCTGAGAGACATCTGAGAAAATGATAAAATAATATGTGACTCCTAGCTATCATGAGTTGTATAATTTTATACTTTTGGCTTCAAATTTATAATTGTGTAAAAACTACCAATAATGTCCCTTGATCATCTGAAATGCTATTAAATAATAGGGGACTTGGGCTTAAATGTGAAATAGATTTGGACTTTAGTACACTTGGCAAAAAGATGTTACCACTAACAACCCGGAAGCCCCAGTGATTCCTGAGTATGTGTTGATTTTCAGTTCTTAAATCAGTTCTTTAATTTTAAAGGAGACAGAACCAAAGAAAGACTTGAATCCTCACGTTTTTCATTAATTAAATTGAACTAAATTAATTCAAGTTATTTATTGAATATTCGTTACATGTTTGCATGTTAAATCCTGGAGGGTAGAGGTGTGTATCTCTTTTCTAGTAGCCCAGGTGTATTGCTACAAACTTTGGAGTCATAAGAGTTTATTTTGAGTACTGCTTCTTCCATTTATGAACCAGTTGATCTTGGGCAAATTACTTTTCTGAGTTATATAGTTCTCAAGATATTTCCACCATTACTCAATCCTTATGAGCAGTTAACTGGACTGATACTATCGCCACATTCAGAAAGGGTTACCTGCTTTCCTACCTTTGGTGGGTAGTAGCATGGTATAGGGGAGACAGGTTAAGAGCATGGATTTTAGTATTAGATTGACTTAAATTTGAATACTACAGCTAGCACCTTGACCATATTCCTCACTTGTTCTGCCTTAGGGAAATAGTCATTTTCTTAACATTGTTGTGGAGGTTAAGGGCTTTCTTACTGCTTTATCTCTCATTCCTGGCACATAATAGGTACTCAATAAATATTTGTTGAGTAAGTAAATGCCTGGCATAGTAGACATTCACGGGAACTTTCTTCCCTTTTGATTCCTAGTTCATTCCTGCCTCTGAACTAGATGAACTTGAAACCCAGTTTGTGTTTGAGATATTTTTAAAAATTATCATTAGCTTTTTAAAAAATTAATCTACTTGGTTGGGTAATATTTAGGATGAAAAAAGACAAGTTTACATTTTTTAAGGGACTTTTTTTTTCAGTAGAGGAAGGTTACTGAAAGCCTTGATTATGCATGAACCTAACGTTGTGGTTGTTTCTAAGCTCCTCATAGTTTAATGTGTTTTTATCACTCTGTTATTAGGCTTTCATATTTTATTTGCTAGAATACAAGATGAATCAACCATATATACACGTGAAGTAGCAGGACTATAATTCCATAATTTAGAAACCTTTAGTATGATCTTAAATTTTTAGAAATGTGGTTCTGTTTTAACTTTCTATGCCTAGTGAATTAGTGTTATGGTATATATTTAGCTTATTGACTGTAATTGAAGCCTGCTTTATGCAGTTCTTTGGATGTGCAAAACATTTACCTCTCTATGTGGAATTGATGTTATGTGTACATTTTTCTCAAAAAAATCTTATCACATTACATTAACACAAACACATATCAAGCATTTGATGACCCTCATTGCACTATGAATTCCTTAATTCATTTTTTTTTTTTTTTTTTTTTTTTTTTTTGAGAGGGTGAGAACACATGAGTGCGGGAGGGGCAGAGGGAAAGAAACAGACAAAGAGAGAATCTTAAGCAGGCTCCACATTAAGCACAGAGCCAGACTTGGGGCTCAATCATTTGAGCATGACTTTTGATTTTGGCTCAGGTCATGATCTCAGAATCATGGGATCTAGCCTGTACCAGGCTCTGCACTGAGCACGGAACCTGCTTAAGGTTCTCTGTCTCTCTCTCTCTCCCACTTGTATTTTCTCTCTCTCAAATAAAATAAAAAAATTTTTAAAAAGAAAAATAAAATTATTCAAAATATGTATTAAAGTCATACTGTGTACAAAGCATTCTGTATAAGCTTAAGTGTGTTTTGCGTGGGGTACATCTTTGTTAGCCCAAATATGTTTATAAAGACAATCTTAGAGTTTGTTTATTCATTTTCTTAGAATTCTTATGTCACTTTTACTAGTAGTCTAAATAATAAAAATTATTTTTAGTGAAAAAGCCAAAATGTTTCTTGTTTCATTTTAGTCTCCAAATGTGTAATACTACTTTTCCTTCTTTTTTTCCTTTAAAAATATTAGTTTTTTCTTTTTTTTTTTAATTTAAATTTTAGTTAACATATAGTGCAATATTGGCTTAAGGAATAGAATTTAGTGATTCATCGCTTACATACAATACCCAGTGCTCATCACAAGTGCCGGTATGGCCCATCTCCCACCCACCTCCTACTATCAACCCATAGTTTGTTCTCCGGTCATTAAGAGTCTCTTGTGGTTTGTTTCCCTCTCTCCTCTTTTTTTCCCCCTTCCCACATGTTCATCTGTTTTGTTTCTTAAATTCCATATATGAGTGAAGTCATGGTATTTTTCTTTCTCTGATTGAATTACTTTGCTTAGCATAATGCATTCTAGTTCCATCTATTTCATTGTAAATGGCAAAATTTCATTCTTTTTGGATAGCTGAGTAATATTCCATTGTTAAAAATAGTATTTTAATAACTGATCTCAAGTGACTGGTTTTTCCTGGTATCCTAGGCATTACGTTTTACTTTCTTCTTTTTCTTTGAAACAGATTTATTTGAAAATGTCTATGGGTCTTCAGTGAAGAGAAGAGAACTTGAAGATCTGAAGGATAATATTGGAATCAGAGGTCATAAGCCACTTAACAGCATCACTGTGTCAAAGAAACGCAATTGGCTATATCAGAGTACTCTGAGATCTTTTAACCTGGAAGAAGAAAATAAGAAATGCCAAGACAGAAGTCATTTATCCATCTCACCTAAACATCAGTTATCACGACCTTTCCTCAAATCATCTGAAGAATACTGTACATATGTGGTGTGTAATGCTACAAATTCTTCATTATCAAAAAATTGTTCTTTAGATTTTAATGAGGAAAATGATGCAGATGATGAAGGAGAAATATGGTACAACCCCATTCCTGAGGATGATGACTTTGGTATATCAAATGCCTTGAGTTTTGGTGAGGCAGACCCTGCTGTTCTGAAGTTTCCTGCTGTTAGTTTGAGAGTATTGTCTGGTCCAGACCTAATGAAAGCAGAACAGTACACTGAAGGCTTGCTGTACTCTTCAGAACACAGAGGCAAGGTTCATACATCACAGTCAAATGAAGTGAATCCTGTTGAGTCCATCCACTCCACAGAGCTCGTGCGGCAGTACAAGCAAGGGCTTGGACACAAGACACAAGAAAGAATAATGGTAGAGGAGAGTCTCATGTTGAAATCTCCTTTTGCAGGTAAAGATGGTCACATGTTTGCCTTTCTTCTTCTTCCATTCAATTCTTGGACAGTAGCTAAAACTAAATATAGATGTCTATTGTAGCTATGTACTTTTCCTTACAAAGTGAGTGTGTTTTCATAAAAATAAAGAAAACTTCAAAAACGTTTACAAATATTTGTATATAGATGGTGGTTTAGTTATTCCTGTCACAGACTTGATTTTGTAAGGGGTGAAGATGCTGGGGTAGTCCTACACTAACTGTTAGTGTGTCTGTCCTTAATTAGTTTCTCTTAGTTGAAAGAGTGGGATCATGAGGTGCAGAAGAGAAAGATACATTTCCTTTTTGTTTTTAATTTTTTTTAATTTTTTTTAATGTTTGTTTATTTTTGAGAGAGAGAGAGAGAGGCAGACTGCAAGTGGGGGAGGGGCAGAGAGAGAGGGAGGCACAGAATCTGAAGCAGGCTCCAGGCTCTGAGCTATCAGCACAGACCCCGATGCGGGGCTTGAACTCACAAACCGTTAGATCATGACCTGAGCCAAAGTTGGATGCTTAACTGACTGAGCCACCCAGGCGCCCCAAGATATATTCTTTATGTAAATCTAATTTTGCTTCATTCATTCATTCACTCATTCATTCATTTATACCTAGCCTGGCTGTAGCTGAAAAGTTGTATAGTCCGTGTATCAGTAGTTATTACTTTACAGTTTCATGCCTACATTTCCTCATGAACAAAGGAAAGGAAGAAGAGAAAAAATAAATGAGAGGTAAAAGTAAAGACCTCGCAAGTAGGTGGGTGTTGCAATAGTTTTGGAACCTAGAAAAGAAATAATTGAAGTTTGATGCATATTAGGTTGCACCATATGAAATTGACAGTTTTTGATCTGCAGAACACTATATGAAATAGTTCAACCTAATGGTTTCTTTCTTCCTTGATTGCCTTGAGTTTTTGATGTGCTTCTTTTAAAATTTGGTCCCAGACACACTAGGAAATAGCAGGGAGCATATTTAGTTGCAAATATCAAATGTTGGCTAGAAAGCAGTTCTGTTTTATATCAAGTTGTTTTAATTTATAAAATTTCAAATGATACAGAATATTCAAAGATGTGGCGTATAACAGATGCTGTCAGTATCTTGTCCTTATCCCTTGGGATTTATTATTTATTTAGATGGGAAAAGCCTCCATCCAAACATCAGTATCTGCATCTCTGCTTGAGGATTCTGGCAGGAGTGTTAGAGAACTTCTCTGCAGGAAGCCTAGGAGTGCCCCTCAGTGAGTGACTGTTGGAGTGCCCACCAACCAGAATTGGTGTAGAACCACCTCAGCTCTCTCATGCCCTGGGTGTCATAATTCTACAGCATTTCCCAGAGTTTTCTCCTGATATTAAACATGAGTTGCCTGTTGTAGTAACAGGCTTGATTGTTCTTGGATTTGCCCCTGAATTTTCTCACTTCTTGCTGATAATTATGTGCTTTACAAATACATTACTTGGATTTGAATCCTTTTCTCAGGGATATGTGGAGGTGGAATAAATGTTATATTATCATATAATATATGATATCAGAGAATATCAGAGATATCAGAGAAAAAGTGAGTTAAATAACAGTGTATACTATATTATGTCAGTTTGAAAGAAACACTGAAAAGTTATACTAGAAAAGTTAAGTATCCCCCCCCCCCCCCCCCCCCCCCCCCACTGCCATGTTAGGATTGAAGGTAATGAAAAATTTTGTGAGTGGGGCACCTGGGTGGATCAGTCGGTTAAGCATTGGACTCTTGATTTTGCCTCAGGTCATGGTCTCACGGTTTGTAAGATCGAGCCCCTCGTCCGGCTTACACTGACAGCGCAGAGCCTGCTTTTTTACATTTTTAAAATTAAAAAAAAAATTGTGTGTGTGCATTTCTAATTGTAGACTGATTTTTCAGAAGAATTTGTAGGTTTTTTTTTGTAAGCTAGATGGAAAGAGGAATAAATGCTTTATGAAATAATAGTTTGGAATACAGGTTGTGATTGGAGTGGTAGGGAAGCTTGCAGGAGTATGGCAGAGAGTGATGGGTTTGTATGATGCAGGAAAGGCAAGAGGGCATAAGAATAACAGCAAAGTTAGAAAGCCAGTGTCTGTAAAGTTACACATATTTTGATTTAAGTTGCTGTCTTCAAACTTTATTATTTTATGTTTGTGGCAAATTGTGAACCTAGAAAGACTAACAGATATTATAAAAACAAAAACAAAAACTTGAAAGTAGGGTAGAGCTGTTATTTATGTTTCCTCTCTCTGTATTATTCTTCTTTTTAGCATCTTATTAAAATATAATAAGCACAGTCCTAAGTTGACTAAAGGAAATATTTAGTTTATTTGTATGTCATCATTTTGTTTTAGTTTGATCAGAAAGGTTACCTAAAGTGATCTGTTTTCTTTAGCAGTATTAACAGAGCTGTTGAGGGGTGCCTGGGTGGCTCAGTCAGTTAAGCATTTGACTATTGATTTTGGCTCAGGTAATGATCTCAGGGTTGTGAGATTGAGCCCCACGCTGAGGGTGGAGCCTGTTTGGGATTCTCTCTCTCTCTCTCTCTCTCTCTCTCTCTCTCCCCCTCCCTCTCTGCCCCTCCCCCTCTCGCTCTTGTGTGCATGCTCTCTCTCTCTCAAAATAAATAAACATCAAAAATGAGAACTGTTGAGAAATAGGCAAAGATAATGGTTGAATTTCAAAATAATTTTCTGATCAAGAAATAAAAAAGCTTGAGTATATTTAGTATCGCTGACAATTTTTTAAACATTCTAACACAATTATGACTTGTTATTTTGTTTATTAAGTCCCATATGTATATTTATGTTTTATCTAGTTGAGATCATAGCGGTGTGTTTTTGGTGTTTTTGTTTTGTTTTGTTCGAGAAAGGGAGAGCATGCCCCTTCCCCCACACCCCCATGTACAGGGGAGGGGCAGAGGGAGAGGGAGAGAGAGAATCTCAAGCAGGCTCCCTGCCCAGTTTGATGCCTGACTTGGGGCTCAATCACACGACCTGAGGTCATGACTTGAGCCGAAGTCAAGAGTTGAATGCTTAACTGACTGAGCTCCCCAGGTGCCCCTGTTTTTGGTTTTTGATATTTCCACTTGATGTTTTCATCTTGTATTGTTACATGTAGATTAACATTATTGTTTACCAATTTTATAGTATTTAATAGGGTTGATGTGTCCTAATCTATTTGACTGGTTATGTTGGGTGTTAATAGATTATTTCCACTACTAGAGGAGTGATCGTCATCATGATCTATTTCACTTTATTTGGATTAATTACTAGTATCATTACTGGGTTTTTATGGCTGGTAACTATTATAGTAATTACTATATTATATTTCCTAAAAGGTTTACCACTTTACAGGCAACTGACAATTGGTTGGTTGATTAATAGATTTACTCTATCAACGCTCAATTTCTGCTGTGTGCCAGTTACTGTTCTAGGTGCTGAAGGAATGTGCCAGTTTCACTTGATTCTAGCCTAGTTTATGGATTTACAAAGATTTTCATTTTGTACTTTCCCTGTATAGCTAGTCTGTGATTTGATTAGTATAATTTTGGTTTAATTTTAAGCAATTATTGAATTTGGTAGTATTTCAGCTCTTGGGTTTTATAAAAACAAAGCATTTTTATTTTAATAAGTTTAGTCTTGTCTGAAGTAGAAATTGCTAACATACACAGTATTTCATTTTAATAGTTAAAGACTTCAGTAAGAATATTTAATGCATGATGTGTAAAAAAAGTCAAAATGTTAAATTAACTCCGTAATACTTTAATAGAACCTAGAGCAATTTAATATACTGGATAGCTTTTTAAGCCATTGACAAAATAGATTGTAGACTACAGCAGGACTCTGATTACTATAGAATGTTTTAGGCCAGTAAACCAATAGAATTGTACTACAATTTACAGTAACAAGGGAATGCTTTGTCTAGTTTATCAAATATTCCATTTCTTATTTGTTATTTACCAGAAAAGCCCCGCAGGCATACTTAAAATAGTCCTTTCTCTATAAAGAAACCACTTCTTTGTTTTTAGGACACATAAAGAGGGGAGGAGGGAGATTATATTAGCACTTTAAAAGAAAGGTCATTTAATCTATTGATTTTGAAATGAATTAATACTCTCTTTTGTTATTTTAATTGTGAAACGTAGTATTTCATAGAGTAACCTCTGATATTAGGGTCATTAGAGATCTTTATAAGGAATAGTTAGAGAAGTGTGAAAAACTCATTTAAATTTTAAATAATTTAAATCATAGATTGTTTCATTCATTCTTTTTTTTTTTTTTAAGTAAGCTCGAGGCCCAGCCCCAAGATCAAGAGTCACATGCTGTCCTGAGTGAGCTAGCCAGGCACCCCTAAATTGTTTCTTTAAAGAAACAGTTTAAACTTATATAATAGATTTTAGAAGTTATTTTCATTTTGCTTTATTAAACACTTAAATAGGAACAGTTTCACATTTTAAAATAAAATTGATTAGTCAGTTTATACATTTTTTTTTTTTAAACTGAGGGATTGAAAGTTTAAGGTTGAGGGGCCCCTGGGTGGCTCCTCAGTCAGTTAAGTGGGTTATGCGTCTGACTCTTGATTTTGGCTCAGGTCATGAGTTTGTGAGTTTGAGCCCTGCGCCCGGCTGGCGCTGACAGCCTGGAGCCTGGCTGGGATTCTGTCTTTCCCTCTCTTTCCCCCCTTCCCTCCCTCCCTCTCTCTAAATAAATAAGTAAATAAACAAACTTAAAAGAAAAAAGAAAGTTTAAGGTTAAATGGAATATTTTATTTAAAAACAAACATTTATTTATTTTTGAGAGAGGGAGAGGGAAGGGTTGGGGGAGGGGCAGAGAGAGAGGGAGACAGAGGATCTGAAGTGGGCTCTGGGCTGACAGCAGAGAGCCAAATGCGTCCAAACTCATGAACCATGAGATCATGACCTGAGCTGAAGTTAGATGCTTAACCTACTGAGCCATCCAGGTGCCCCTTAACTTCTTAATAATGGTTAAGAAGCCACCATTAAAAATCAATTTAATGTATATGTATAGACAGAAAAATGTTTAGAAGGATGGAAGTACTCTAAAGTACAGTATTTAAGAATATAGGCTCTGAAGGCCTATGCTTAGGTTTGAATTGTACCTGTTTCTGCCACTTAGCTGCTTTGTGATCTTAAACAAATCAGCTCTGTGCATGAGGTCCTTGTCTGGAGGATGGGATGCTTGTGGTATCTTAACTCTTAGGGCTATTTCAAGAATTAAATCAGAATCTGTGCATACTAAGTGTTAAATTAATTTTTCATACTTTGTCTAGCTCAATAAATGTTGGCTAGTGCTATAAATATTAACAATTTACTGTTAAACTACTTTGGATATTATTTTCACCTCACTATTTATAATGACTCATCTCTTAATAGCTCAGTTTAGGCTATATGGATTTCTTTGTGTCTTTTAAAAACTTTTTATTGTAAACCTGGATAATTTTGACATTCAGGGGGGGAAAAAGCTATTTTTGTGTGGAGAAAAAAATCAAAAACATTTCAATGCTTTACTCTTCATGAAAACTGAGAAGATAACAAAACTTATTTATGTCTCTGTACTGTTATTTAATATATTGAAATTGCAAGGAAAGGCCCTAATTTAGCTTTTGAAGTTCCAGGGAATTATTGTATATAAATAATAAAAGAAAGAAAATGTCTTTATAGTTTTTAAAATTATTCAATTAGCTTTATGATATTCAATATTCAGTTATTCTTTTTTTCTTTTTTTTTTAAGTTTTATTTTTTTAATTTACATCCACATTAGTTAGCATATAGTACAACAATGATTTCAGGAGTGAATTCCTTAGTGCCCCTTACCCATTTAGCCCATCCCCCCCTCCCACACCCCCTCCAGTAACCCTGTTTGTTCTCCATATTTATGAGTCTCTTGTGCTTTGTCCCCTCCCTGTTTTTATATTATTTTTGTTTCCCTTCCCTTACGTTCATCTGTTTTGTCTCTTAAAGTCCTCATATGAGTAAAGTCCTATGATATTTGTTTTTCTCTGACTGATTAATCAATATTCAATTATTCTTGATTAACTGTGTTTCATTCTATGTATAATCTTTCGTGATATGTTCTGAGGGAACATCGAAGAAAGAAAGCGCTCGTAGTTGTCAAAATTATAAACTTATTTGGTTTTTGGGGTGCCTGGGTGGCTCAGTCATAAAGCATCTGACTTGATCTCAGCTCAGGTCTTAATCTCAGGGTGGTGAGTTCAAGCCCCGTGTTGGGCTCTGCATTGGGCATTAAGCCTACTTAAAAAAAAAGGTAAATAAATAATAATAATAAGCTTGTTTTGTTTTTAACTTTTTAAAAAAAAAAACTGCTTGGGGTGCCTGGGTGGCGCAGTCTGTTGGGCGTCCGACTTCAGCCAGGTCACGATCTCGCAGTCCATGAGTTCGAGCCCCGCGTCAGGCCCTGGGCTGATGGCTCAGAGCCTGGAGCCTGTTTCCGATTCTGTGTCTCCCTCTCTCTCTGCCCCTCCCCCGTTCATGCTCTGTCTCTCTCTGTCCCAAAAATAAATAAACGTTGAAAAAAAAAACAAAAAAATTAAAAAAAAAAAACCAAAACACTGCTATGTGATAAAATTTAGTTTTTAGAGAAGTATAAACAAATGTTCTTTTATTAGAGTAGGATTTCTTTTTTCTTTTTAAAATTGGAGTAGGATTTCTAAATAAACACTCAAATAGATAATATGCCAAAATAAACATATCAAAATAGGAAGCTTTCCTAATTTCCTCTGATATCCACTGTTCATGGTTATAAAATAACATACTCCCTGAATTATATTGCAGTGGGAAAGATTTAAAAGGAATCTATATTACCCTTCCTCCAAACCTTTAAAGTAGAAAAGAAGATGGAGACGAAGATGCTTCTTTCCACCCTAAGCCATTTGGAAATCCCGACCCCCCTTTCTTTAAGATTTTATTTTTATGTAATCTCTACACTCAGCATGAGGCTAAAACTCACAATCTCAAGATCAAGAGTCACTTGCTCTACCTACTGAGCCATCCAGGCACCCCTGGAAATCCTTGATACTGTGTTTGAAGGTGGTAATGGAGATTTACCTAAACTTGTAACTTACTAAATCTCCCCAGTGTGATAAAACAAGGGAGAAATTTCTGTCCATGGGAGAGTCTGTTTAGTTGATGATTTATAAAGTAGGAATCAAAACATATCACCTTATAATATCTTTTTTTTTTTTTTTTAAAGGTCCTGGGACCCTAGGTGCTACAAATAAGACTGAATTGGGAGCTACCGAATTATCTTCTCCAAGCCCTAGCCCTGTGAAAAAAAGCAGTTCAATTAACTGGTCTTTCCCAGATAAAATAAAATCTCCACGAACTGTGAGGAAACTTTCCATGAAAATGAAAAGGTTGCCAGAACTTAGCCGAAAACTGAGCGTTAAAGGAACTTTGAATTACATGAACAATCCAGATAATACTCCTTCCTTGTCTAAATGTACCTGTCGAGAAATTCATCATGCCAATATTCTACCTTCTGGGAACACAACCACAGCTGCTAAGAGGAATGTCATAAGTCGGTACCATCTGGATACCAGTGTATCTTCTCAGCACAGCTACCAGAAGAAAACATCTGTGAGTTCCAAGTATTCCTGCAAAGGTGGTTACCTCAGTGATGGAGATTCACCTGAACTTATAACTAAATCTAACAAACATGGATCTGACAACAAATTTGGAAAGGGAAAAGAAATAATTCCAAGTAGTTGCAGCAAGAGTGAAATAGACATTGATGCTTTTAGACATTATAGTTTTTCTGATCAACCTAAGTGTTCTCAGTACATATCTGGGCTCATGAGTGTGCATTTCTATGGTGCTGAGGATTTAAAACCACCTCGGATAGATTCAAAAGATGTCTTTTGTGCAATTCAGGTAGATTCAGTAAACAAAGCAAGAACAGCTTTGCTCACATGTCGGACAACATTTTTAGACATGGATCATACTTTCAACATAGAAATTGAAAATGCGCAGCATTTGAAATTAGTAGTATTCAGTTGGGAACCGACTCCAAGAAAAAATCGAGTGTGTTGTCACGGAACTGTTGTTCTCCCCACCTTATTCAGAGTGACAAAGACACATCAGTTGGCTGTCAAACTTGAGCCTAGAGGTCTTATTTATGTGAAAGTGACTCTTCTGGAACAGTGGGATAATTCTCTTCCTGGACTGGCTATAAATCGAGAACCAGTAATATTTGGTGTTGATATTCGAAAAGTTGTAGAGAAAGAAAATACAGGACTGATGGTGCCACTTCTGATACAAAAATGTATTATGGAAATTGAAAAGAGAGGCTGTCAGGTATTATTTCAGTTTCTCTACTACCTCCCGATGTATTTATCTACCTTAATTAATTAAATTTATAGTAAGTCTTGGGGAAAGGGATTCAAGGTAAGGTTAAAAAAATCTAATTTAGACATTTTCTCATTCCTATTTTTAAAATTTATCCCATTATTGTTTAGGGTATAATTCACATCTTCACCTACATTGTCAGTGAGCAATTGAGAGCATGCTAGATGGTTCCACAATTTATGTTGTGATGCAGAGTTATGTGGGTTTTATACCTCGCTATCAGGATTGCTTTACAATGACATTCCTAAGAAAAGCCAGAGCTATGATAGGCAAAGACTAATTCATTTAAGGAATGTTTCTGCATGGTTTGACATTCCTGTGGTACAAAATTCCAACAGTGAATCTTAAAACCCTGCTATACTCCTAAAACTAACTCCCTGTCCTTGTTCCCTGCTCTCCCTCATCCCACACTTCAGGAAGCATACATAAGCTTATTTGTCTCTGAACTTTGGGATATTGTGGAGGATGAGGAGAGGTCCTACTAGTAACATGTCTCATTCTCTCTTCCTTTTAAGTGAGAAGGTAACAATAAAATAAAATAAAATTAAAATAAAATAAAATAAAATAAAATAAAATAAAATAAAATAAAATAATAAAAATGTAAAAGCAGCCCATTAAAAGAAACAAAAACCCTGGTGTTATATATAATAAGATATGTAATGTTAACCAATTGTAGACCTTATCTTTTTTTCATTAATACATGTGGACTGTGACAATGAGAAACAGCATATCATTCAGGATGTTATTCTGAGGTGCAAGTAATAGTTTAAATTAAAAAATTAAGCCTAAAATTAGATATTCTGAAGTATTTCTGCTTTAATACTATCAGAATTTGTGACATTGATTAAAAACATCAGAGGTAAATATCAACGAATCAGAATTATGATTTCTTTATATGTAGAAAAGAGTTTTAAAATAACTCACCTTGAACCTGATGTGGAAACTACAGAAACAGTGTAAGTTAGTGGGGTTTTGTATTAAGATGCAGGAAACTTGGGTACCGGTTTCTCCTCCATTATTAATTAGCTGTGTGATGTTGGGCAAGTCACTTAATCTCTGTGGGCCTTATTTGCTTATATCTATAAAAGTAGATGCAGTAGTTTCCTGAAGGTAAGAGGTACATCTGAGCTTTTGAAACCTCTTCTCTATTATTCAGATAGAGTTTATATTTTCTATATGAGAATACATACGGCTTTTAGTTTCCAATCCAACTTTTGGTCCAGTTACTTTTTCTTAAGATTCTCTGTTTTTCTCCCATTTTTTTTTTCAGGCAGTATGTAGAAAGGTCAGAGATTAGGCCAATTTCAAATTATTAAACAAACTTTTACAACTGAATTTTAAAATAAGTAACCCAAATAGCACTGTACTTTTACAATCTATTTTCTGAGATAGTTTATAAAGAATGGGTATATAAAACTTATAATTTTTTCATGAGTTTTTATTTATTCAATTTGTTACAATCAATTATAGTCATTATTCTTTGAAGCTTAAATTATCCCAAGTTTGGCTAGGGAGTGCCTCTTGCAACTAGCTACTGATTGCTTTGTTATATCCCCAGTAGCATTTGAGCATTTCTTTTCTTTATGACTAAGACTGTTGTAATTTATTTTAAATACCCACAAAATATTTTTAGCAATGCTTTTTATTTCTATACTTAAAGTTTAGAAATAGTTATTTTAATAAAGAATTATTTCCTATGAAGTAAAAAATTTATAGTAGTCCATTTGGAACTGCAATTTTTAAACACCTTTTTTTGTTTGTTTGTTTGTTGTTTCTTTTGCTTTTTCTGTCTCTCCCCTGCCCTGCCAGAGAACGAGGCTTATTGTGTCTACATTTTACAGACTAGCACACTGCTTAAATTTTGGTTACCTTTTTAGGCAGTAATTATTCTTGTGTTTGTTATCAGGAGCATCAGGTTTTAACAGTCATACAAAAATAGTTTGTGGCATCTTCCAAATGCTTTGAAGGCTATTACCACCTATCCCCTGCTTTCAATGGGAAAAATTACGATGGAAATCATACTCCTGGTTTATCCAGTACAGATTCTATCACTGATAGGGGCATTAAGCATGTACTTGAAGTGTTTGATTTAAGAAGTCAGCCTCTGAAATTAGGGGTATATCCTAAAGTGTCTTTTCCTTGAAATCTCTGTATTAGATCTATCTTCTTTTATTCACCTTTAAAAATTACCTTTGTATTTTCAGCTTTGTGGACAACATGTTACCATTAATTTATTACTTACTATTGAAGTATTGCTTTCTTTAACTTGTTCTAGGTTCACCGCCTTCTCAAGTTCAAGGGGATACATCTTTATTATGGGATTTTGTGACCCTTAAGTGTGCCTACACCAGAAGGGCTCCACTCAATCAAATTAGTTTCTTCTAATAGCATTTTCTTTGATCCTGTTAAAATTTTAGTTTCATTTTCTGGATCATCTGTGGTTCTACCATGTCTTGTGATGATGTGACCAACATAGGACATGCTATTCTCAATGCAAATGCACTATAAATTTGTATAAGAATAGGAAATTTCCTTCTAAGTACATTCCTTAGTTTCCCATATTACATGGATCCTTTTGTTTTTTTTTTTTTAATTTTTTTTTTCAACGTTTATTTATTTTTGGGACAGAGAGAGACAGAGCATGAACGGGGGAGGGGCAGAGAGAGAGGGAGACACAGAATCAGAAACAGGCTCCAGGCTCTGAGCCATCAGCCCAGAGCCTGACGTGGGGCTCGAACTCACGGACCGCGAGATCGTGACCTGGCTGAAGTCGGACGCTTAACCGACTGCACCACCCAGGCGCCCCACATCGATCCTTTTGAATGTAGCAGCACCTTGCATTACCTTCTCTCAGAAATAGTTGTAGTTTCCTTAGTATCTTTCAATTAATACTTAATAGCTTATCATCTCAACTATTTTGGATAATATTTCTCTATGTCCATTAGTAACATTTTCCTATATCAAGACCCACCTTTTGTATTCTATCAGTTATGTAATGACTTGGAGAGGTTTGTATCATAAGTACACCTGGAAATTTCATTTGTGTACTCCTTTTCCTAGATTGTTTATATGATTTTAAAGTGATTCCTGGTTCAAATCTTTGGGGATCCTCACTGTTTGTTTTTACTTTTTTCTGTCTTGAAATAATTTCTTTATAACTTCCTTCAACTCAAGGTGATTCGGCTTCCTAAACAGTCTTTGATGTGGAAATATAATCAACAACCACGTATTTTTCTTAATTTTCTTGAAGGTTTTTTTTTTTTTTTTAACTCTGATTGCTTAATCAGTCATGTTTTCTCTTTACAGATACAGTGCTGATTTCTTCTCAGTGACTTTATAGTGAACTTCCTAAGACTTAGTATTTTATCTCCTATATGAACTGTGTTTAAAAAATGAATCTTTTTAATGTAGGGTGGGTGGTATCTGTGTATCTTATATACATTTTGAACTAAAGGTTTAATTTTAATTTTAATATATTTTAATTGAATTTCCTCTGCCCCTTTATAATCAATTAACTTAGTAAGTTAAAAAATTCATTTCTTCCTGAGGATCTTTTTTTTCTTCTAAAAAGGTAACTTCACACAAATAGTATATTGGAATTTTATTTCAATGGTATTGCTTTTTTATGGATAAATAAATTGAATTTAAAGAGATTAAATAATTTGCCCAAATTCACTAAGCAAGGAGTTACAGAGTGGGACTATATGGAATCCCAAACCCTTGTTTAACCACTGTGCTGCATTTCTTCTTCAGGGAAAAGATGTGAAAAGGCATGACCTTGGGGCATGGAGATATTGGTTGAGCATATAAGACTAAAGGGAAGGGCTTGTATCTTAAGATAGCCAGCATTATAGAAATCATAGTATATTGTCTGAATTTAAATGAAAGAATATAGAATGTTTTTATTAAACTGATGAATATAGTCTATGGTGAGATTTCAAAAGCTGTTTGAGGTATTTTTAATTAAATGTCATTAGAACATATTTAATTACCAAGTTCATGTGACTTAAATATTTTGTGCTGTTATATCTTCTCCTTATCAAATTTATCATAATGTGGCCATAATTTTATTTCTAGGTAGTAGGCCTGTACCGATTATGTGGTTCGGCAGCAGTCAAGAAAGAACTTCGAGAGGCTTTTGAGAGAGATAGCAAAGCTGTTGGTCTGTGTGAAAACCAGTACCCAGATATAAATGTAATAACAGGTAATAAATAGTTTTTATTCTCTGTACACATTCTGGAAAGAATACATCTGTAGGAAAAGGACTTAAAATACTATTTTGTAGCCTAAATTTAATTGGGTTTTATTCTGAAGTCTTATTTTCCTTCCTTCACAAACATTGTATTATTTTCTGTGGGGAGGTAGTACCAAGATATGGTCCTTGCCCTCAAACAACCAATAAATATTGGGGGGGAAATACAACCTATGTTAAATTAGCTATTACTAGGTAGCAGAAGGAAAAAGGTACATTTTCTTCATAGAAGGATAAATAAAACACCATCAGAGTTCAGTTTGATTGTTGCCAGGTCATGTAAAGGGTATTGACTATTTGGATAGAGAATTCAGATTTATTTACTAGGCAGAGGGGACCCATCAAAGATTTTTTTATTTATTTTTGAGAGACAGAGAGAGGCAGAGCATGAGCAGGGGAGGGGGAGAGAGAGAGATACAGAATCTGAAGCAGGCTCCAGGCTCGGAGCTGTTTGTTAGCACAGGGCCCAAACTCACGAACTGCAAGACCATGACTGAGCTGAAGTCGGACCCTCAACCGACTGAGCCACCCAGGCGCCCCCCATCAAAGATTTTTCAGCAGGGGAGTGAAATCTTTAGAGAGATAGTCTTCAGGAATATTAATCTGGCAACTCTATGTGACGGATTGTAATTAAAAGAAACCAGAGGACAGAAGACCAATTAGGAAGCCTTAGCAGTAGTACCAGCAAAGAGGTGATAAGAGCTGAAGGAGTCTTGTAGCAGTAACAATAGGAAAGAATAGAACTGAAAAGATGTGAAGAAAGAGAGGGCCCAGACAAGCATGACTTTGATGCCTTGTTGATTTGGTACCATTTGCAGAAACTAAGAAGCTGAGAGGAGAGCTACTGCTTTTGGTGGAGAAATGTGAAAAAAAAAAACAAAACAAAAAACTATGAATTGGGTTTTGTTTCAAACTTATATACTGAATTTGAGGTACTAGTAGGTGATCTACATGGATATATCAGGCAAAGTAGAAAGTGCTCATCTACAGCTAAGGAGAGGATATAGTAAAATTTACCAAGTGGTGAGTATATTCCAATATATAACATTGGAAATATACTTCTAGTACTCCTGAGACGTGGAGGTGGGAAATGGCAATGTGCGGGTCATTAGCATATAATTGTAATTAACACTTTGTGATTGTCGGTAAAGTTTGAAGAGACAAGATCTTTGAGGATCTCCAAACTTTGGAGGCACGGAGACAAAGAAGTTCCAGCTGAAGAGATTGAGAGGATAGGAGTCAGAAAGTTTGGGAAACGAAAGACAATAGTTTAAGGAAAGGTATGAGGCAGTGTCATTTGATGGAGAGATCATATAAGATGGGAACAGAAATAAGGCCTTTGAATTTGGCCATTATGAGATTGTTTATCACTAATCGATATCTTCAGGGACTCTTGACTTATAATTCCGTGTTTTTGTTGTTGTATTTTATTAGCAAAGTTGTCAAGCATATATAAAAGTAGAATACTGTGACAAACCCTCTATATCTATTACCTGGCTTCCATAATCAACACATGACCATACCTGTCTCTTTTATACCCCTCATTTGATTCTCCCCTAGACATGGATTATTTTGAAATATGTCTTCAGTATCCTATCCTTTCACCTATAGATGGTTTGGTATGTATCTTCAGATCTTCTTTGTATTTTGATAGTTCTTTGTCTTCCCTCTACTGGTAACTGCCATTTTTTTTTCATGCTGTAATATTATTTATCTCTCTAATTTGATTTGTCATTTTACATGCAATTAATTGCCTCGGAGAGAATTTGAGGAAGGTTCAACCTGCACATATTAAAGAGGTTTTTGTTGGTTGGAATCCTTTAAAGCTTACTTTTAGGATTGAGGCTTTTCAAATAGTTGAGATTCCCAATCTCTGAATTCTGAATGACTATATTTTCATGTATTTAATATATACTCTTAGATAATCAAAACTTTGATCCTAACCATTTTAATTCTAATAGACAATAAATCAAGGAACTTTTTCTTTCTTCTAAATTTTAGCAAACCAGAGATAATGGTTACTTTTATTTTTGTAAAGGAAGAAAGCTTATTCTTTCTACAAAAAATGAATTATGTCTACAAAAAAGAAAGTAGAATTTTTCCCTTAATAATATGTAATTAACAAAATTAGTAAAGAATCCATTAAAGAGAGATTTTATAAATAGCAGTTCCCAGGAAATTACACTCTATAACTAAATGAAATATTTAATCTTGTTGAGGCATTATCTTAAAAAAAATTGTGCAAATATGTATGAATTAAAAAGATAACATGACGTGGCTTGATTTGATTATTTGCTATAAGACAAGGTCCTTAATTAGAAATTTGCAGCATGTGGAGATGATATGAACAATAGGTCAATGAATGTTAGATTTGTATCATTCGTTTCTAAAATTGAGTGTCTCCATAGTTTATGAATTGGGTATTTTTTTGCTCTGTTGTTTATACTCTTTCATTTCAGGAAAGCTGTTTTTCAAAAGAACCTAGAGCTATTTTCTTTCTTGATAAAAAAAAAAAAAACAAAACAATGAAATGATGTAAAAGTTGTCTGACAAATATCATTGAGATTACAATGAATTATATGCAAGGTCTCATCATGTCTCAGTATAAAGGATATTGTTGATTTGTAGAATTTGCCAGTAATAATGTTGCCTCATGTGTTCCATGTGAACTCAAGTTTCTAAGTAAACTTGAAATATAATTAACAATTCAGTAGTTCTAAAAAAAATGAGATATTAATGAATGATAGAGTTTACTCACAGTTTAATGTTTATTTTATTTTTGAGACAGAGAGAGACATGAGTGGGGGAGGGGCAGAGAGAGAGACACACAGAATCCGAAGCAGGATCCAGGCTCTGAGCTGTCAGCACACAGCCTGTACTTTACTCACAGTTTAATGTGTTCTTAGTAGTTGGTTTGTCTAAAACACATAATGAAGTGCTCTAGACAACCATATTTTTCATGGGGTACAAAATTTAAGGTATGAAATCTATTCATATTTGTTTATAGCTCTTATTTATCAAAGGAACAAGAAATTAGAAAAGTAAAAATATTTATTATTTAGTGATTATTAGAAAAGAATAATAATCTTTCCTTCCTCCTAAGAAGGAAAATCCAATTTGAATGTATCTAACCTTTATAAAATAGACATCATATTGCAGGGTTACACAATCACTATCTAAGTTCAATACTTAGACATTCATTTGACCATGACTTTTCTAATTTTAATTCTTTTTAAATTCTTAATTCTTTTATTTTGCCTCAAAAGAAAACTTTATCAGCAATAACCCCCAAATTATCTTTAATTCTTTTATTTTGCTCAGAAGAATACTTGATCAGTAATAACCCCAAAGTTATCTTTAAACCATAAATAATTTTCTTCATTTATGTATATTAAATATGCATTTCCCCCACCATGCATATTATATGTTCTCTGATCTCTGGCACATTAACTTTCAAATTATTTTTGTTTTTCTTTACCTGCATTGAACATAGACACCTAAATTGTATAAATACTAAGGAATGCAAAACACTGAGGAATAGTAATAGATTTAGCAATCAAAATATACTGAGGCAGTATAGAGAGTCCATTTAATCACTTATCCTTCCCTATCTAGAAGTTAATTGGTTTACTTACTAAATATTTATTGATGTCATTTACTATATGTCAGGCATTCTTCTAGGCACCAGGGACAAGTGAACAAGATGAACAGTATCTCAGTCCTCATATATGTATTCTTGTAAGGGAAGAGAATCAGTAATCAATGAATAGTAAGATATAGTAACTTATGCATGATAAGTAGGGCAATGGGAATGATACTGATTGGAGGTAGTAGTCAACTTGGTGACTCCCATGGTTGGAGTGATCAGAGAAGAAAATTGATATGAGAAGTGCCTTTTGAGCTAAAATCTATATAATACAGAGTTAACCATTGGAAGATCTGGAGCTAGAGTTCTAGGTAGAGGAACAGAGTGAATTTTGCAAATTGAGAATTAATAAAATATAGGTACTACAGACCAGTCTCTGAGAAATAGAAGTAGTTTTAGTTATCAGAATGCCTTTTTTTTTTTTTTTTTTTTTTTTTTTTTTTTTTTTTTTTTTAAGTGTGATGATACCTATTTTATCATGGGGATGAGTAGAATTTTCCTGTGTTGGTCCTTGTGCCTGAATGAAGGTGAGAGGCATATGGTTTCATAGTATCTAACTATTACAGAGCAACTTAGATGTTAGCCAAGAACCCCTTCTTTATTTACCTATAATTGCCTGCATTTTCTTCAGGTACATGGTAAAAGATGTACTATGTTGCACTAAATAAATTTTTCCATGTAAATTTTCCCCAAGTCTCCCTTACATAGTTTCTGTAGCATTAAAGACTGTCACCACAAACTTGTTATCTTATGGTTTTTATGTCCCCAAAGTATTCGAAAATGTTAAGGTTGGGGGCGCCTGGCTGGCTCAGTTGGTTAAGTGTCTGACTCTTGACTTTAGCTCAAGTCATGATCTTGTTTGTGAGTTCGAGCCTCCCATCAGGTTCTGCACTGACAGCACGGAGCCTGCTTGGGATTCTGTTTCCTCTCTCTCTGCCCCTCCCCCACTCATGCTTGCTTGCTCTCCTACTCTCTCTCTCTCTCTCTCTCTCTCAAAAAAAAAAAGATGTTAACATGGCAGTATGGCTTAAGATACTCATATCACTAACTTTTTGGGATAAGGTCATATAGCTAACTTCTAGATTGATAGGTAGTTACATAGTATATGTCACCATATAGTAAAAATACCTCCTCTCTATATCATTTTATAAAATCTTTTTATTTTTCTAATGAACTTAATTATTCTATATATAGAATTTTCTAATGTCTACATACAGAAAAGGAACGATAACTTTTACTTTGTTGAACATAATGTGCATTGAACAGACTTTAAGTGCTTAGTATTTGTTAGTAATAATTCTCCCTT